TTTACAATTGAAGACAAATTTAATCGCCAAAATTATCGTGTGTACGCACACAGCTCTTAAGTCGCCCAGGAAGTCAATGGAAGAGTGGAAAGAGGTCATCATCCTTCCTCAATGATGGTTTGGTGGGGAGTTTGCTTTGATGGCACCACAAAGCTCCATTTTTGTGAAGAAGGAGTTAAAACAGCCGCTAAAAAATATCAGGACGATTGGAACCTATTGTAAGCCTCAAAATGATACTCTGTTTGCTAGGGAAGTCATTGGGTTTTCCAGCAGTATTCCGCTCCAGCCCACAAGGCCAGGTCAACTCAGTAGTGGCTGCAAAAGAATATTCCAGAGTTCATCTCTGCCTGCGATTGGACCTCAGGAAGCCTCGATCTCGAATCAGATCGATACTCTTTTGTAAAAAAAAAATCAATTTTTACACAAGACCTTTTGCGCTAAAATTATCGATATGTGCTAGCTTAGATCACTTACAATAACAATTATAGACCAAAGATAAAAATTGTTTTTTTTCTAGGAGCAGTAAGTAATAGTTTTAACAATCCGAAAAAGTTAAATAAATCCTGAGATTTTCTATTCTTAATAAATTACAGTACAATTACAATTAGCTGTAATATAAATACAATAGAATCAATTAGAACTTATCCATTTTTAGAATAACATTGATTTTAGAGAAGATAATATTTATAGAAACATGTACAATTATCTTATATCCATAATTGTGGGTTGATGGTTGACTGTCCTGAATAATAAAGAGAAGGATGGTCGGAGAGATCAGTCAAATAAAAAGGCAAAAATAAATAATAATAGTTATTTTAAAATTTGCCAATGTTTCGACCTGAAGTTCAGGCCTTCATCGGGGCTGTTCGAAGAGGTAGTTCGAATATCGAATATCGATCTTCGAACAGTCCTGATGAAGGCCTGAACTTCAGGTCGAAACGTCGGCAAATGTTTAGATAACTATTATTATTAATTTTTGCCTTTTTATTTGACTGATTTCCCCAACCATCCTTCTCTTCATATCTTATATCCAGTTCTTCAATTTTTTTTCCCCACAGAAATATTGTTTTCAAGCAACATACATTCCAAGCAACACAGTACAAAAGAAATTTATTCATTCAAACACTGCAAAAGAGTGCTGCCATCTGTGGAATGCAGGAGGTACTCATTCCCTACTTCACCTGGTTTTGGCAGGTACATAGTTATCCACGGATCGCTTAACGTTTTGGTCTTCCGACCACATTGAGTCTTCTATTAAGTCCCGCGGTACATGGCTTGGGATGATAAAAAAATCGATATATCGATATTAAAAAAAAACATTGTGTCAAACATCGATATCACCGCTACATCAGCATAAAAACATGGATGTTTTTTATTTATTCTCTATAATAATTATTTAGGAACATTTGGTGATTTATTTTTAAAATTCGAAATATAAATATATTTTTATTTTACCGGGTTTCAAGTCACTTGTAAAAATCAAACATAAAATATATGCATTACTAATCTAAATCTAACAAACTAAAAGCAGTTATGGAGACGGCAAATCCATTGAGAGACGAATATTGTATCCAGTTAAAGAGAAGAAGTTCAGTCACAGTTACAGGAAGGTTACTCAGAACTTCTCAATGCAAGGAAACCCCCGCCGATGCATACCAGTTTCCGGCAACGACTATCAAGTATATATTAATAGAATGTAAATTGCACAAAGAAACAAGAAGATAAGTCGGAATCACCACGTATGAAAGAGGTGCGTTAATTGGTAAATACAAAATATTTCGTGATCAAACCATACAGCCGCGGTCATAGAAATTGCACCACCTATTTCTTTTGATTGTTATACTGATAACGTTGATTTCTTTTTTTTTAATTTATTATGGTTACAATAAAACTTTAACAATGTTTTCAGTTCATTTTTAACTAATGCCAGGATAAAAGCTATAGTCATGACCTGTATCAAAAACTTTCCTCGTCAAAAAAGCATTAAAATTGTGATGTTACATGAAGTAAAATCAGTAATGATTATATACTACCAACAATAACGGTAGTCATAGCTTTGAAGAAAAAAAGGCACCATGAAGCGATAGAAAGAAATTGGGAGGAGAAAAAACAACTTGACCGCCTAATGGTGCGATTGTATTTAGCATATTGTTTCATAACTGGTAAAGAAATATCCAGAGATCTTGCATTAGTAATCTGGTAAATAAAATAATTTTTTTTTAAATTAGAATTTTCAAGTAACTGTGGATTACAGAGTAATAGTTTCTTTAGCCTTATGTAGCGGTACTTGACTCCAAAATGTCAAACAAATATTTAAAATATTATTTAAAAAAAACGACAGATTTTATATTGTATCATAGTCTTTATTCAAAGTTATTTAAAAATAAATCAAAACTTAAGCCAGAGCCTAAAAAAAATGTGCTCTTAGCAGTAGAAAGTTTGAATGAGAATTAAGAAAATATTTTAAGTAAAAATGACTTCGTCTGTCCAATTCGTTGGCTGTTGATTTAAAAAATATGATAGATAGTTAAGGATCCAAATGGGGTTGATGTTTAAAATGTGGCAGAAGATTGAATTTATTTCTTGTATAAACGGGTGCAAAAATGTAAGAAAAAAATAATAAACACTAACACGTGCTACCTTAAGTTCTATATATGTTTTTTATAACTAAAGCACCCTTTTTTCATTTAAAGTAAGCATTCATTCATTCATACAGCTCCTAGAACTTTAAATTAGCATAAATTAATTTGTTTTGGAAATTATTATTATTATTAATTTGCTCCTTAAAGGACCTCCTGAGCCTCAGAAATAAGCTTCGGCCAGGCTCACCTATCAATAGCTGTTCTCTCTCCTCTATCTTATAATACCTATACTACTGAGATCTTCTACATCGTCGATCCACCACAGCCTATATTGTTTTGGAAATATTCCTATAAATAGGAATTACCGTAATTATATATATATATATATATATATATATATATATATATATATATATATATATATATATATATATATATATATATATACTACAAAAACCGTATATAGTCAACTATCTGGAGATGCTTAAAGCCGTCAGGTCAAAGAAAATTGATTTTGAAGAAGAATGTGAGTTAATTTTGAATATGAAATTAAAAATAATTTAACTCTGGAACTAAAGCGCCCCTAGAATATTAACAGAGTTCAAAAAATATGTACACTAGTCAGGCATGTAGATATAAAACAACATAATAAATAAATAAAAATAAAATATAATATGCAAGACTTTTTATGATTTTATGAGAAACAAAAAGAAAGCCTGACTTCGAAACTTGACATTTTTTTTTTTTTTTACACCATGTTCATAATGATTTGTTTAAGAGAAACTAAAAAGATGGGGATAAAAATTCTGTAAAGGTGTCACTCCACTTTGTCGGGTGTCACAAGATGTCAGACCGTCGTAAATTGTATCCCGCAGGGTTTGAAATCAATAATTAATTTTTCTACAAAATCATGTAATAAATATTATATTGAAGAGAAGGAAAATAAAAATAGCAAAAATAAATAATAATATTTATTTTTTCTATTTTTATTTTGACTGGTCAACCCAACCACCCTTTCTTCAATTATTCTCTACAGTCAACCATCAACCCAGAATAATAAATAATATATTTGATTTCTAATTTAAAAATCACGCCGGGTTTATTAATAAAAATCTTTAGGTTTGTTCACGCTTGTCGGATTGTACAGCCCTGATGAAGGCCTGAACTTCGGGCCGAAACGTCGGAAAATATAAAAATAAATATTATTATTTATTGTTGCTATTTTTATGTTGACTGATCACCCCAACCATCCTTCTCTTCAATTATTCTCTACAGTCAACCATCAACCCACATAAATAAATATTATATTTGATTTTAAATTTAAAAATTATTCTGAATTTATTAATAAAAATTTAAATCGATCTTTGATGATTATTTATTCGATTGAAAATAATGATCACTCACTGAGGAATACGGTATTACTTTAATAATAATGATTAAATTGTGATAAAAACATTTTTGATCAGAAAATAAAAATCACCTTTTACAAATTAATATGTTTGTATACGGTATTAATGTACACATGTTTTAATATTAAATTTCTTAAATCGCTTTAATTTCGCAGACGTTGTCTGTGACGTTGGTTACAGTCGAAAGGGAGTTTTCAGCACAAAGTCGTCTTTACCGACTTCCCTTCTAGGTTGACAATTGAGCACTAGAAAAAAAATGTTATTTTTCAACTAAACTTTTCCAGCCCCATGTATTGAGGAAGTTAATATAACAAACAATTTTAATTTTTGATTTAAAAAAGTATTACTCGAGAATTATTGCTGTTGTTAATAGTAAAAATTTTGTTCAAAAATAGTTTTCAGAATATGATTTTTATCGCTTACGAGTATGGTCAAAAATAAAAATCGCTCTTGATCAATAGATCAAATGATTTTGAAAAATTCCGGATGAAAAATTCGATGGGATTTGATTTTTAATACGGTATCCCATAAGTGTATCAAGTGTATTCGGAAGTAGACGATAGTGACCGACCGGTTGGAGCTTTGTTTATCTGTTTTGAGCGAGCTTAGCTGGCGAAAGAGGAAACCAGCCAAGTGATTAAAGCTAATTAAAACTACGATTTTAACTTGGAAGGACCAGTATTGATAACGCCGAAGACATAAATAAATTGAGGTTAAACAGTGAACACTTGTCAATCCTCAGCTATTCTCAGAATCTCAGATATAGTATGCATGATCTAGGGATCTTGGCCCTTTCGTCAAAATGCAGAGATAGTTTTACTTAGAGTTTTATTACAAACAAAAAGAAGACGTGACTTCAAAAATTGGCTCTTTTTTAAAAACATTTCATATTCATAAAGTTTTTAATGAGATAAGAAATAAATTAATAAAAAGAATTAAAACAATTATTATCAAAAATATAATTTAAAAATTAAATAATATGTATATATATATGTAAGATAAAGCTTACCATAGTAGCCTTATGAAGAGCTCTATTAGAGAGGGGAAGACCATGTCGTCTGTCCCTGCCAGCCATTTTCTACCGAAGAGCGTGAGCGCCGGCATCTCCTGCAAAGAGTATATATCGTGATTAAGAAAGTATTCAGGGTGCATTACTTAAAATGTAATCAATGAAATAGTCTATTCAAAAAAAAAAAATAGTTACATAGCAAATAAGATTGTCTACTACAGTTCCAACTGACGTGACATCTTCTAAAAGACAAGAGACTGGTCATTTAAGAGGTATTTGCTCTAAACTTTCTACTCTCCAGAAAAAAAAATATATAGGTTTGAAGACCACTGTAAAGTATGGTAGCTGTGTTGTTCGATATATATGTTATTTAGTATTGCCCAAAATCGGTCTTGGTCTTGCACTTTGCATAATTACCTTAATAAAATTCAAGGCAAAATAGTTACCAATATTCGACAATCTTAGTTACTATTTGTTAATAATTGGTATTCTAAGAAGAATTTTTGGTTTAGTGTGTGTGAATGGAGAGTGGAGGAGGAAAAATCAAGAGACCTAACAGGGTTTTAATGAGGTCAATATTGTCAATTTTATAAGAGCAGTCCGTCTCAGATGGTCGGATCATGTGGCCAGAATGAGAGATGACATGATCCCAAAGAAGGTGTTGGTTGAAATCCTGCATGGAGCGAGAAGAGTAGGAAGGCCAAAGGATGGAGGGACAGCGTGATCAAAGATGCCAGGAAGCTAGGAGTTCGAGTTTGCAAGACCAAGACTCGTCTCGGTCTCGCATTTGGGCAACACTAAAGCTAATTACAATCCTAATTTATAGTATAGAAATGACCTAAACTGTCAGTTTTCTTTACTGTGCCAGTAACTACAACTGTTAATGTTGAAGAAAGCTTCTACTATTACTTAAAATTAAAAAAAATCTATTACAGATATAAAGAAATCCTATCCAACCTAAGGGAATGTATTTGCATGTTTATTTAAATACCTTGGTAGATTTTTAAGAAAATTACAGAAAAAAATATTTAAAATAGGTGCATTTAAGTTGGGTGTCTCCTATACTCCCTAAGGAACTCAAGACTCCGATGCGGACATTCACCGATACATGGGATTAAAGTTTAAATATTCGTAGATGTCAATTTCCCCAACAATTTACGAAGGCGTCTAAGTAAATATGCAAGGATTTCCTTTAGAATGGATAGGGTTTTCCGATTTCTTTAATCTTTTTTTTTTTAATTAAAATATTTTTTTTATTTCAACCTTTTTAGTTTTTTTAATTTATCCAATTGATATTCAACATATATGATCACGATTTAATACATGCTATGAAACAATCAAAAAACAAATATGGTTTGCGCAATACACAACTTTCACTTACTCTACTTTAAATAAAAATTATTACCTGAGAAAATCGGACTACTACAAAGATTTTAATGCAGCTAAACCTTAATCCTTTCAGCTAACCTGTAAATCGCCTAACTCCAGTCTCAGAGCTAATTACGCCTTGAGATATTTGAAAGTACATATTTATATTTAACCTAGAAATGATTATGGATTGTACTACTATCAGTTATTAAACTCTTATTTCCATTAAAAATTTGCTGAAAGAGAGAGATTTTCGTTGCCTACCATCGATAGGTCAAAAATTGTCACAGTAATTGTAAGTAGGTAATGTGTTGATTGACCACTGAGAAAAAATCATCAAATTATTCGTTAATAAAATTTCCGAAACGCTATAGTATAATATTACGGAATAAACTGACGATAAATACCTAATTATTTAAATATAATATCAGGTCTTGCGTTATTAAATTACTTTAAATGTAATTAAGATTATAAACATATGTTTTCTCATCCATGAAATATATTTATATTTCAAATAGTTGTTTTAACAATTAATTTGAATCATTAATCAAATCATTAATTTGATTCCGTGGATTTTATGTAATTTTTTTCCAAACTTAAAAATAATTTTAAAAGATTAAAGAATTGTGGTTTGGTGGTTGACTTTAGTGAATAATAGAAGAGAAGAATGGGATCATCAGTCAAAAAGGAAAGTAAAAATAATTAAGTATATTTATTTTTATTTTTGACGATGTTTCGGCCCAAAGTTCAGGCCTTCATTAGGGATGGTCGAACGAAAGAGACAAAGAAAAAGATTACATTTAGTTAGGAAATTTCATTTAATTTCCTTGTAGACATGTGGTTTTCGCCATATAATATTAGTTTCAGAAATTATTTTTAATTTTTTCGTCCCTCTCCATTACTTTATACGATTTTATATGTTAGATATTGTTTTTTTCTGAAATTCTCAGCTTTCCAACGATATATTATATCTATAACTTCTGATAAATATTTCCGAAAATTTATTTTCAACCTAAATAAACTTTTTTCTCTATTTTTCAATCATCAAATTCAAAATTTATGTTTAGCATTTTTTCCCTTAAAGGTACTTTAGAGGAAGTAATGTTGATCTTTGGTCATTTAAGGCCTGTTAAGCGACATCAATGAGTTTAAAACCTATCTGATATGAAAAGCCTATTGAAATTTAATTGAACATTGATACACCGTTTTAAAGAAAATTTTAAAAACATGGAAAATCAACGATATAAAGTGCTACTTCCGGTTTTCGGCCGATTTTTAGAAAAAAGTTGCTGTAACATCCTAGGAGAAAACCTACCTTAAATAAATAATATCAGTTTGTACAATAGAGTGCTACCATTGGGTAGTTACTCAGCAAGTGTATTCATGTCATTATATCTATTATGTATAAATTTACTAGATGTATTTTTGTAATACAGTTGTAAATGTCATTAAGAAATAAAAAAAAAAAATTTGTACAACTTTTCGTTTTTGAACTAGACTGTTCACACACAAATAGACACACTGACATACACACACCATTTTGTGGGACTCGGGAGACCTCAGATCGTGTATTTCCGTTGAAAACTGAGATTAGAAAATTTTCACGATCAAAATACTTTCCTTTACTATATATTACATATATAAGTAAGTAAAAGTAATTAAGAATACTGAGACAATATAATAACACATTTTTTCAGTATTTTGGGCTCCAAATGTTTCAAAACATTCCCGAGATCGCACTGATTTGAACCATCTGACTTAAAAATCAGTCCAGCCGTTTGCTCAATAAATCATTATATACAATTTAACAGTCAGATTAAAACACGTTTTATACAACTTTTTTTTTGCGATTTGAGCCAAATTGCTTAAAAACACTAACCGGATCCCACGGGATGATTTGAGCCATCGAACTTAAAAAAAGGTCTAGCCGTTCTTCCTCTAAAAACACGGTTATATATATATGTTTTAGCGGATTAATTAAAACAGATTTTATACAATAATTTTAATCAATTATATATGAATTTCACCAGAACGCGTCCAATCATCCAATTAAAAAAAAATTAATGAAAAAATGCAACCAAAATTTGGAAGAATATTCGAACTTTTTATACCATATTTAACCAACGCCACAACTACATGTCTTCATTAAAGTTGAAGAGGAAAACCGGGAATGCTATCGCCTGAAACTTTAGAATTGTTTTCAAACCTTCGAGACATTTCTGATGAGTTAGAAGATAGATTCCTATTCAATACGGGGAATTTAATGAATTATGCTTTTATGTTTTTATAATTTCATTTGATTATTAACTCTAATTTTATTTTTTTATTTTGTTCAACAAAGGAAGGACTTATCAATATAAGAACAAATTAATATGTTGTAATGAACGAAACAGTTAGATAAAATAATCAATAAAATACTTTTTTTTTTCATTTTATTCTATTAAAACTTTACAACATCCCTTTGCCAAATAATACGGAGACAAAATACTTAGGACTCACAACGGACAGACGACTGACCTGGAAATCGCACGTGACTACACTGAAAAAGATATTGAACCATCGACTGTCACTACTAAAGACGAATGCTTCCCCATAAAAATAAATAATCACTTTCTAACAAAATTATTATATACAACATGCTACTCAGACCAATATGGACGTATGCTACTCAGGTGTGGGGTTCATGAAAAAAAACACACTTACAGACTATTCAAATTTTCCAATCCAAATTTCTCCGGTATATCACTCATCAATCGCTTCATAAAGAGCTACAAATACCACAAGTGACTGACGTAATTAAGAAGTTTTACAAAAATTTTCACGACTCACTTATTGGACATCCTAATCCCCTCGTACGGACATTAGTAACAGACACGCTACCACAGAATCCAACAAGAAGACTCAGGAGCAGGGATCTGCTATATTAAGAAGGGTCACGTTAGGAGTGCCTTCGCTGGGAGGTTTCTCCAATTAAGTATTCATGTTAATCCTGCAGAGGAAGTTGACGAATAAGGACCATTTACAATATATACATTTGTAATTTTTTTCAATAAAGAAGTTATTATTATTTATTCTATTAAATTCACTTCAACTGTCTCAGTGCGTTACAAAAAAATGTTGTTTTATTTTTTATGGTTTCTTAAAAAAAAAAGGATTAGTTAAATTATGTACAGGGCGCCAAAAAAAAAATCATACTATTTTACCGAAACTAATATAAGAATGGCTGCTTGTCAAATCATTATTAGTTTTTATTTTAAATTTTCATTAAACTGTTTACTACTTTCAATATAAAATAGTTTTATTGATATTAGTACAAAAACTATTTATTGACGTGAATATGTTTGTACACATAAAATAATAACAAAATTTAAAAAAATTAAATTAAAAAAGGACCTGTATTATAACAACCCATGAAGGTTCTGGGGTTTAGCATACCCAGCCTCTATAATACATAATCTTGTATAAATGCCTATAAATCATTTAAATTTCTTTGCAAATATTAATTAAAATTTTTTTGTCGACGCCATTTATTTAAAACGTTTCATTAACAATATTTAAAACTTTATTCATTCAGAAGATCCTTTTTCTTATCATCATCAATTGAACTAACAAGGACAGCAATTATAACTTTTTTCTAGGACGATTAATCTATTGTCTGATTTAAACGGTGTTCATGATCGTGAGTATTAACTGTTTGCTTATGCAATGTTTTCTGCCTTTTTTTTTTTTT